AGGGTGATACCCCCCCCCCCCCCCCAAATAATCCCCTTGACTAGCTAGCCAGCTTCAACCTGTGGATCATGGCCAGGATCCACTCCCTAGACTGTTCTGGAAACACAGGCCAACATGAGTGTTTTTGTTCTTTTATGTAAAACAGGAGTCTTCTTATATAAATAAAAAATGCAAGCACTCTCACATAGCCACTTGCCTACAAGTACAACCATGTTTATTCCAAGACACTGGTACACGTATATCATCTGCGGCCTGACTTTGCTGTGTAAATTGGTAAGTACAACTGAAGACGCCCTGAGAGAACCAGCAGTGCCACTCAGGCTGGCTGCTCCCACACTTCCCTTGCTCAAGGGGCATGAGAAATGCTTTCACTTGCCCCTTGCTTCTCAGTGTGCCCATCACAACTGCAACCTCCTAGTGGGTGAACTTGAAAAGCTCCACCCCTCCTTCCAACCCTCAACTCCTCCTCCTCACGCCAGAAACTCAAAAATAGCCAAGTCAGCATTTTTCCAGGGGAGGGGTGCAGTGGGGGGAAGAAGTCAAAGCTGCCTAACTTGGCTGCAAAGACTTCCTGTTCTGACACACTGGGCAGTGAGCCCAGAGACAATGGGGAGATTAGGGCCGGGCTTATGAGGGAAAGAACCATCTGGCCCAGGAAGCAGCTGCTCCTGGCAAATGGCCCCCGCCCAGGGAGCACAAGCCCCTGAGATTTGCCCTTTGCTGCTCTGCCCTATTTTTCCAGAGGCAGGGCAGCCCCATAGCAGGACTGGCCCTGGGCAAACCATGTGCACTTCTATCTGCACACAGCAAGGCCCCCCAGGCACTGTGATGGAGGGATTGGAGTCTGAATGAACTCCCTGTCAAGGGTAGGAGACACCAATTGGGTGGCCAAGGGAAAGATTTGTATCTGCAGTGGAGGGGAGTTAGGTCAGACCACAGTTGGGGAGCTGTGCAATCTTTCTCCAAAAAAGGGGGGATGGTGCTGCTCTGGGAGTTCAGAATTGGTCTGGTATAGAAACAGTGCGTCCCCTCAAAGGCTGTGCCCAGACCCCCACCTCTGACTGTCCTCTCCCCTTTCTGCAATGTACCAACCAGAATCTCCAGGGCTGGCCCCAGTCAGACAGCTTCCCCTTCTACTGCTCCAGAAGACCTGCCTCACCTCTGCTTTCTCCCACCATTCAGGGACAGCAACACAGGCATAACCCCAGGCCACCCCAGCGGGTGGGGAGTGAGCAAAGCATGAGAGCTCTGGGAGAACACGTGCTCACCTCCATCCAACAATCATGACCTTGTTAACTGTTGGGACAGTTTCTTGAAAGCCTTGCTGGTCCAGTGGGATTTAGCCCCATGCATGGAGTTTTGTGAAAATAGGGAAGGCTTGCTAGACACTGAGTATAAACACTCTCATAAGCTCCATAACCCTTATTCTATATTCAACAGAGACCCCTGGACTGCCTCTCCTCATACCTGCCATACACCCCACACCCCAAGACGTAGACTCCTTCCCCCAGCTTCACTCCCGGATTGCCCTACAATGGATGGCCTTTGTACAATAATTGGCTGTCTCTTGCATCTGTACACCTGCCCTGTAGGCAGCCTTCAGCCTCTATACACTGTACTTCTCCCTCAACAATCAGGGCAACTTAGAAGTAGAGACCTGGGAAATCAGTGCATGACCTTGATCGATATAGACAGATCCTTTAGACCCCCACTGTCCACTTTCGCCTAAATTATTTGGATATATGAGATTCTAGAGGCTTCTCCTCAGGAACACAGACAATTGCTCAGAATGAATGACAAAAGCATTTTATTGAAGATTCACCCAAAGATGTACAGAAGAATGAGAAAAGTTGAATGGAATACTGAGTGGTTCTTGTCCTGACTTGCAGGGCTAGTTGCTGCCAGGTGATGGAGAATGAGTTTGGTTCTGATGTGATGGATATCCAGGATCTGGTGGGAGATGGCACTGGACTAGGAGGGGACATATGCGACCCTGATAATTCTGAAGATGAAGTTCCTGGTCATTTTCTCCTCTGTCCATGGGAAGTGAAAGTTCAGCTGACACCCCTCCCGTTCCAGGTGGGTCACCTGGCTCAAATCGTGAAGAAGCTACCAAACTCCAAGAGGGCAGAGTTCACACCCCAGCAGAGAAGATCATCCTGGAGCAGAGAGAACCCAGGGGGGAGTGGAGGTGACACTGGTGAGATGAGCCCCAGAGAGGCGGGGTGGAGGCGAGGTGAAGGAAGCGCAGAGACACCAGGGCTGGGCCTGGCTGGGTTCAGGGGACCGCAGGGACCTCGTCTCCTCTATCGGTAGGCTTTCTTGGTCAAGGTGGTAGAGATGAGCTTGCTGCTGGAAGTGCCACAGACACCGCCACCAAACCCAAAGCCACTTCCAGAGCCTGAGCCCCCACTACCCAGGCCAAACCCAGAGTAGCTTCCTAATCCTCCGCCAATGCCTCCAACGCTGGCACCACCGCCGACCACAGCTGCAGGAGAGAGGCAAAGGACACAGTTATTCCAACAGTGCCAGCAGCCAGGAGCCTCAGCCCAGACCACGGTGAACGAGCGGCCATGGCAGGGGCAGAAGATACTTACAGATGCTCACGGCACTCTGGCATTCTCCAGACATTCTGTGGGGGAGAGAAAGCGGTGAGTCACAGTGAGCCTGGAGCTACGTTTCGTTCAATAAGCAGGTCTCAAGTACCTACTTCACCCTTGAGCAGCCAGATTTTAAGGGTCCATCGTGAACCTGTTGTCTCTACTGCCCAGGTTCATAACGCACCAGCACAGCACTGAAGCAAGCAGCCAGCAGAGGCGCAAATTTGTGGCCCAGGACCACTCCAGCCCTCTCGTCCCACCTGCCTTCCCAACTCACCTGCACTCCTCGCCCTCCAGCAGCTTGCGGTAGGTGGCGATCTCCACGTCCAGGGCCAGCTTCACGCTCATGAGGTCCTGGTACTCACGCAGTATCCGGGCCAGCTCCTCCTTGGCCTTCTGCAGGGCAGCCTCCAGCTCTGTGCGCTTGCTGTAGGCATCTTTGAGGGCCAGCTCCCCGCGCTGCTCTGCATCAGCCACAGATGCCTGCAGAGTCTGGCACTGTAGACAAAGGCATCAGACAGGCTGTCATCAGTGTGCTGCTCTCAGGGCCTCTATACCTGTCCCCTCTCTTGGGCAGCTTTCCTTGGGTTAAGATGTCAGGATACTGTCCATCCTTCTCCCCACCTTCCCTGATTCTTACACATTTCACTCACTCCAGCCAGAGTCTACCAATGCCCTCAGCAGACTGGTTAGATACAGATGAGCAAAAACCAATGAAGAAGAGCCAAGAAACCTATGTGCAGTGCTGGGGTGTCATGTCGTGTTGACTAGGATATTGCTGAAAAGATTTGGGTATGGCTTGTGTAAAGAGCTACGAAGGCCCTGCAGACAAGCTCAGAGTCTTCAGGCCCTGTGCTTTATCTGCTTGTCTGCTATGGAGATGTCTGCCTTAGGCCCTGGTCCTGCACTTCAGCTGGACAGGGGTTATACCCACCTGCTTCTTGATGTTCTCGATCTCAGCCCGCAACCTCTGGATCATCCTGTTGAGCTCCGCAATCTCACTCTTGGTGTTCTTCAGGTTGTCACCATGTTGGTCAACTGAGGTCTGGAGCTGCTGGACCTAATACCCAAGGAGATGCAGGGAACCAGGGGTCAGGGGTATTAGGGTAAGGTCCATTCTCAAGCACACTCTGTGAGAATAGCCACAGGTAGCAGGGATAACACAAAATGTCGAGTAATCCCAAATCAGACCGGGATCAATGATGCCTGGGAGAATCTGTTCACCTCCGACTTCTCCTGGGCTCAAGTTGATGATTGCTTGTTCACAGACATCAAAGTAGAGCCCCAAAGCCACCCCCCATCTCCTGAGAGATCCCCACCACCCACCTTGGTCTGGTACAGGGCCTCGGCCTCAGCCTTGCTTCTCTGGGCGATCTCCTCATACTGGGCACGGACCTCAGCAATGATGCTGTCCAGGTCCAGGCAGCGGTTGTTGTCCATGGAGAGGACCACAGATGTGTCACTGACGTGGGTCTGCATCTGGGCCAGCTCCTGCAGGGCAAATGTCTCACATCAGCTCCCCAGGAGAGTCTCTGTGGACCTCTGACACCAAAGATCTGCTGTTGTTACGGAAAAGGCCATGGTATGTGCTCAGAGGGAAGCAGGGCTGGCATTCCCAATGTGGGGGGCGGTAAAATTTCTAAGTAAAAATTGAGTGGTTGTTGACATCTCAGGACAGAAAAACAAGGCCTCTCACCTTTACTGTTCCCTGAAAACCATAAGCCACTCTACTTCTAATGCAGAGGATACTCAGTATGTTGGATGGGAGAGAATGGAGTGCATCCATTTCACCAGAGAAATGCTAGACAGCAGTGAGTTCTATCCCATGCAAGCTGTAGGTCTAATCATCTCTCCTAATTCAACACCGGGTTTTGAGAGCCTCCTAGTCAAATCTCTCACTTCAGCCCTTCCTATGCAGGGCCTTGCTGACAACCCACTGCCCTGAAGTAAGGGAATGAGCATCCTTTCACAGAACTGTGAATTCCAACCAGTGGCATCACAGATGGCGGATTCTTTCTCTGAATGGAGGGAGAGGGTGGAAGTCCTCACCGCCTCGTGGAGGACCCTCAGGAAGTTGATCTCATCATTCAGTCCATCCACCTTGGCCTCTAGGTCCACCTTGGTCATGTAGGCTGCATCCACATCCTGCAGAGGAGGAGAGGGGAGGAGATAAGAGACAGGAATGACAATGGGGAGCTGTGGATGTTAAGTGACACCTAAAGGTGTTCTTAGTAGCACTTAGGAAAGACTACACAGCACCAGGTGAGCCAGTTGTGGACCAATCATTCAATATATTCTGCCTCTAAGGCCACCTGAAGACATGGACATTAATTACCCAGATAGGCTTTCCTCCCAACCTTAATTCCTTGGAACCCGGCTCAGTTACCCATTTCCTTTGCCTGCATAGATCTGGATAGGACCAAGTAAGGTGTAGATGAGGCACAGATGGGCCAAACCCACAACTCAAGCCAAAGACCACCCCCAAAGCGAAGGGGGACCCTGAGAGCACTTCCTGCCACCCTGCATTTCTCACCTTCTTGAGGACCACGAAGTCATTCTCAGCGGCTGTGCGCTTGTTGATCTCATCTTCATACCTAGGGGCAGGGATGAGAAGAAAAAGAAAAAAGCCTGCGGTGAGCTAGTGTTTCTCAGATACCTGCTGCTTGTTTTCAAATGTCTAACTATTTGAAAATGTCCAGGTAATTAGCTACATTTCCCATGTTCATACTGATATTCATTCAATTTACATTTATTGAGTATTACCATGTATGAGGTACCGGTCTAGACCCTGGTTTATTCGGGGACATGAAAACCAAACTTTAAAAAGACAGTTTTCAAGAGATAAGATGTGAGGAGAAGAACCAGCAATGCCCTAGTTGATTTTATTTCCATGGAAAGGCTGTCCTTCCGGCCATTTTGGCAGATTGAATTCTCCGGAAGGTTGCCAGCACTCCAGTCCCCTTTGTCTGGTGTGTGAGTGAATCGAGAGAGTGCGTTGGCACTTATTTTCTCAGTCCCATCCCATAGTGAGCATAATAAGAAATCCTGTGTATTGGGTGTTCACTGTACATGCTTTCTCTATCTCATTTGATTTCACTTAATTCTCACAACCCATAAGGTAGAAATATTATCCCTATTTTAAAGATGAAGAAAACTGAAGCTCATAGAGAGTAAGCAACTAACCCATGGTCACACAGCTAGTAAGTGAGGAATCAGTATTCAAACCAGCTCCAGCTATCTCTACAACTCCGTATTCTGACCATGCTGTACTGCTTTTCATCTGTTCAGTTTCTGATCTTGTTTGTATACAGCAAACCCAGCTCCCCGAATCTATCACCAATTTTCTGTTTGAGGCAACTCGTGGTTACTAAACTTCAGCCTGTGAAAACGTGACTATGTGGATGCAGAGAAGCAACCTAGAGGACCTCCCTGGCCCCCGTGGGATCTCTTCGGATCCTGAATCCTAAACCACTGGAGAGGAGCCCAAGGAGCCTGGGTCATGGCCAGGTAGGTGTGTTGAATGGCATCCCTTCCTTCCTCCCCACATACTTGGTCTTGAAATCCTCCACGCTGTCCTGCATGGCCTTCAACTCAGACTGCAGGCGCCCTTTGTCATTGCCCAACATGTCCAGCTGCTTTCTCAGGGCACTGAGGTAGGTCTCAAAGAAGGGATCAAGGTTTTTGGTGGACGTGGTGGTCGTCTGCTGCTGGAGGAGGTTCCATTTGGTCTCCAGGACCTTATTCTGTTGCTCTAAGAACCGCACCTGTGTTGAAAAAGGCACCGGCCAGCTGATGAAGGCCTAAAGCTTTAGCAGGAAGTGTTGGCTAAGTCCAGTACCAACCCAGTCAATCCAAAGCAACCAGGCAGCCCAAAAATCACTCCAATAGGGTCACCACGCTACAACTCCAGGGCACCATTTCCTAAGATCAACACAGTGGCCCCCCTCTGGAGCCCATAGCAGCAAATGGGCACGTGGGTTGTGGAGAAGAGAATACAGCCAGAGCAGCAGGATCCGACAGCACAGCAAGAACAACTTCCTAACCATGGGGATCCAAAGGCTCTGAGTTGAGTTACTAGAGAAGATCATTAAACTTCTATGAAAAAATAAAATAAAACTTCGGAGCTACCACAGTCTGGAGGCTCTTTCATTCAAAGAGATCCTGACCCAAGGCAAAGGAAAGATAAACTCACTAATGACTTAAAAAACAAGCTTGTTTATCAATGGTCATGGCATGTCCCTGTAAACCTATGGACAAGTGAGTATTTAAGACCAAGGCCCTACACATATTCTGAGTCTCAGCTAGACTCCATTCTGCAAGGGACTTGCCTAAACTTTCCCTCCCTCTGTGAAAAGATTTAGCCAGATAAACTAAGGTGCAGCTTAGTGTGACATTTCCACTTTATGCACTTCAGAACTGAAAGGAAAACAAGTAAGAGAGATCAATCATGTTTT